GGACGTTGTTAACTAACTATATTAACTAACCAAAACTAACCAAATTTTATTTCACGACTCAAAAAATACCTTTTGCTATGGGGACGTTGTTAACTAACTATATTAACTAACCAAAACTAACCAAATTTTATTTCACGACTCAAAAAATACCTTTTGCTATGGGGACGTTGTTAACTAACTATATTAACTAACCAAAACTAACCAAATTTTATTTCACGACTCAAAAAATACCTTTTGGTATGGGGACGTTGTTAACTAACTATATTAACTAACCAAAACTAACCAAAACTAACTATATTAACTAACAAAAACTAACCAAATTTTATTTCACGACTCAAAAAATACCTTTTGATATGGGGACGTTGTTAACTAACTATATTAACTAACCAAAATTAACCAAATTTTATTTCACGACTCAAAAAATACCTTTTGGTATAAGGACGTTGTTAACTAACTATATTAACTAACCAAAACTAACCAAATTTTATTTCACGACTCAAAAAATACCTTTTGGTAAGTTTTGGGGGCGTTGTTAACTAATATAAATTTCAAGATTGCCGTTTACGACCGATAAATAAATATTGAACATCTAACGGTTTTACGTCGCTTTTGATTAAATAAAATCAAATATTTCTCTCTGGCCTGCCAAGTTTATTAAATCGTCGCGAGGTTATTTTCACGTAAAATTAACACAGTTTGCAGCCTCGCTATTTGTTATTTTCACCTTAAACGTCAATGTTGAAACGTATTATACAAAACAACCCGCGTTAACATATAAATGGACGATGAATCAGCAATGTTGTTCTCCTAATTTAGGAGTGCATTACACAGGGTAACCCATTATTTACTCCAAACATTTTATCCGTAAAAAAACCGTTTTAATGTTATTGATGGAAATATGAATGTCTCTTAAAATACTAATTTGGGTTAATTTCTGGTTCGATATTTGGGTTTATTTTTTTTTTTAATTACCGACTTGTGGTTGACCGATTTTTGAATAAGGTACTGCGCCGGCGCAACTATTTTCGACATTCTCCTCATCGACGGGCGCAGCACATCAGCAGGAGACGCTGTAGCACCACCATCGGAGAATTTTTACGGTCAAGCGATTTCATTGAATTTTACAGATGAGAAATCAGTGACTTTGGATCTGTTTTATCGTCCACCTGTCTAATGGATCATTGATATTTTACGTTTTTCTTAGGCTTTGGAAATAATAACGGGCTATAAAATTTGCCCCTTCCAAATTTAATCAAAAGTGAAAATCGCAATTGTAAGGAGAAGAACTTATCTAGCTATTTTTAAATGAATAAGCTAATATAACCTTGTAACGCGAATTACATCAGACTTTAACGTTATTTGCATTAATGTTATTACGTATATTTGTTTACTTTTCATACGCGAACAGTGACATACGTACGTATACCTACCGTTAAAAGCGATGTCCTTAATTAAAAGACGATTGCTGAAAAATTCCTAACTACGTTAAAACTAACCGAATGGAATATTGTGGATCAATAACTCGTTTGAATTGTTTCAATCGAAGGCTGATGTTAAATGCCCTGTCTGGTTCCTCCTAAATGCGTATATAAGACCATAACACGCAGTGTGACAACTTTCAGAATAACTTTACAATTACTTGCACCTAGATTGTCGTTAATTAAACGATTTTAACGGTTGAGCAAATCGATAGAATTATATAAATTCTTGATAACAATTGAATTGTTGCAGATTGTTATCGTGGGTTAAAGACTTTTCAATTTGGCTTGAAGAAGGGTCGAATAAGCTTGCATTTATTGCAGATAGGAAAGATTTCGCATCTCGCTTGCCGATGGTTACGCAATTTGAAGAATTGAATATTGAGACACTTTCATTGTTTATCCGCCGCATCTCCGTCTTTAATATAAAACACTTTGGCGAAAGTGCACTTCTCTTCAGTGCCTGCGCCCTGTGATTTTACAAACCGAATTACTGCATTGTGCATCGGTTTCTTTTTCTATTTCGTATATCTCAGAAGTTTTTGAGAACGATTGTTCGCGATTAAAACACTGAATTGTAGCACGAAACACCCATCGTAAATTAAAGCATTATAACCACTCATTACTGATAAAGTGATTGATTAATTACGTTCCGACGTTGAGAAATTATATTTACCTAAACATTGCCGCCAGTTAAAACGTCAAATTATAATTAGCCAGGCCTAATCGATTTTTCAATTTTATTCGAAGACTCCGCTGGTACGTGACAAAATTGCCATTTGCATATCAACAAATGGCAACACGAATTTGGATGCTATTGTGTGCTCGGTTTAACAGTAAGCTAATCGGGTCGATGATGGCCGGCCATATCTGGGATATTGGTATGGTCTGTTCATAGATATAAGAAAGTGACCAATTGCTTTTGAATGAGATTATCCAAGGGTGGTCATTAAAATACAATGCAACAAGATTATTACCTAAAGTTTCGGAATTTAAATTCAGGTAAAATTGTGGTCCGTAATAAAAAATAATTTTATACCTATCTGTGTTTAATATTCTTTGGTTTGGTATACTACTTAGTTTAAGTTTATTAGAATCATTCTTATTTGGTGTGTAATACAGCGTGTGTTGAATCGTGTGCGAATTATGCAAAATATGTGCGAGTCTAGTATATCTCAGGAGATGCTCCAGCCCAAATGTAGAAAACACTATTATATTGAGACTAAGGAAGTTATAAACAATGTTTATTTGACTCTTATTGAACGTGGTGCCAGCAAGCAAGCATCTTTAGAAGAAACGGCCACATTGACGAAAATTCCAACATCAACCGTATGGAAAATTGTGAATAATCCCATTTCAGCGAGGGAAAAAAGAAGCGATCCTGACATTTTCTCGAGTGTGGATGAAAGTGATCAAGATATAATACGGCGTAAAATTTACCAGTTATACGAGGAAAAAAGCGATACATTAGATATCGTAATTAGGAGGCTTGAAAAAGATGAAACCGGTGTTAAATGTGGCAGAACTACCTTATGGAAGTGTATTCAACACATGGATGGGCCCGCCCTTCCTCGGACCAGGGAGCTGCTTAGACTGACCGGAAGGGAGTGTAGAGCACTAACAGGGGCCTACACAGGGCATTGCAGGCTTAGGAGGCATCTTTGCTTGCTAGGCATTGGAGACGACCCGGAGTGTAGGTGGTGCATGGAAGGGGAGGAGACCCCGTATCATCTGCTCACCGAGTGCCCTGCCTTGACATGGGCAAGATTGGGAGTCTTTGGAACGGCCCTGATCGATCCGGACTCAGTGCACGGTATTGGGCTAAAGGAGTTGCTGACCTTCTACAGGAGGGGCGGCATTCTGGACGCCCTCTAGAGCGGCCTGGGGGCACAACGGGCCCATCTGGTGGCCTAAGTGCTTGGACATGAGTTTTGGATTAAAAAAAAATGATAAAAGACAAATTTTAATGGAATCTTTTAGAATTCGGAAATGGCGACTGGAATATCTAGAAAAAATTAGGATTTACAAAGAACAACAAAGGCCAATTATTTACTTGGATGAAACCTGGTTGGACGCTTACGATACCCCGGAAAAGGGTTGGGTTGACTCAACTGATAAGTGTAAAACAAACGCGCCATCAAAAAGAGGTAAAAGAATAACTATTTTGCATGCTGGCTCTAAAGATGGTTGAATTTGAAATGGACTTTGAGTTTCAGTCAAGCTCTGAAGAAGCCGACAGGATGACTGGCGAAACGTCAGCAATTTCGACTAAGCAAAAACCGACGCAGGAGGAATCCAGAAGTTTTGTAAAAAGTTCTACACTTGTATTTTCTTGTATCTTATATGTTGTTTCCTTTATAGTGTACATTGACGTTTTTGTGAGCAGGCAGGTTAAAAACTTCTTATTTATTGAATCCCCTAATCTGACACGCTATTTCGACGCCACATAATTGAACAATTGGTGAAAAGCTTTTTCGAATTTTTATATCCAAAATATCTTATAAAATGTGTATTTACTTAATTAAAGACCTCTATTATTATTATTCATCGTACAATGATCGTCCTGCTATCGGCTGGATAGAACGATCAATATATTTGTATTTATTAATCTTCTCGTTTCTTTTACACTTGAATCATCAGGAATGGATATATCAACTAGGAGTAACATTTTCTGATGGTACTGCCAGTTGTGATTGGGCAATCTCACGTGTAGTACTTTTCCGTCACCTGAATCCCAACATCTCGGTATATTCAAATACACCCACTTCTGCGAGTATACTCGTTTAGCACAAGTGTTGAACACCTAGCAATTATGTGACTTATATGTTCTTTTGGCCACGTTACACGTTCTACATCTTTTAACGAAATTTTCCTTAAGGACGTACTTCTGGTAGTATCTATTCTTCAGGACTTGATCTTGAGGTGCTATTATTAGATTTTCAGTTTCTCCCTTAAGGCCTGCACTACGCCACCAGCCCATACTTTTACCGATGTTACTTTTTAGGGGTACTTGGTAACTCAATAATGCCAAAACTATATGTTATGATGGGTACAACCAAGGTGTTTATTGCTGTTATCTTTTTTTTTACACTTTACTTTGTTTCAAATCTAGCGTATGCGTCGGTATTATTATGTATAATACATATTACATTGTTAATATATTTGTATGGCTCAGTCAGGTCTAAATTTCTTCTTTTTATTAATGTTATCATTATTTTTATTATTATTATTATTATTATTATTATTATTATTATTATTATTATTATTATTATTATTATTATTATTATTATTATTATATTTACTTATATATACTTATATATACTTTGAAACACACTGTACAATAGAAATTAATTCATCAGTTTTCATGATATAAAATTAAAAAAAGTCATTATGCTTTTTCGCTATAAAAATGCCCTATATAAATTGTTCATATGTATTTCCTAATCAATTTCCTAATCAAACAACAAGTATTGACGCCATTCTCACATTGTATAAGCGCCTCATTTTAATATTTTGTTACAGAAATTCAAAAATATTGGAATGGAACGCATCGTAAAAGTACTGAGGCTATAAATAAACGCAGCTTCGGAAGGAAGACGGTACTGCAGAGACTGCACCGATAATAATGCCAGTTGGGATAAGTACGTATTATATTAGTCCGTTACTAGTTAAAGTTTGACCCGCGTCGTTCTCGTCGTGTATGGGTACGATTCGCATATTTGCCGACGTCTGATATTATTTTTACATTTGAAAGCAGTTATTCCACAAAAGAAAATCTAAACTTAAATCCAATAGGTCGCATTTTTACGCAGCCATTTGCTTTAACCTTTAGTGGTAAAGTTGACGCTAAAAATATTACAAAAATGTGCACAACAAGAGTCCCCGGTTTGCGTTTAAACGGGAAAGCGTCACTGTCATAAAGGTCGCATCCAAAGTTCACGATCTTTATTGAGTAGGTACCTATCGGTCTTTTCAACTAACAATCGCTCGGGTATTGAATTTCAAGATCGGTTTAAGTTCCGACGTTGGGAAATAATCCAAAATTTACCGCCACTTTTATGGGCGTGGCATCGCTATCTTGCAAATTATATTAGCTATGTGTATGCAAGTTAATTGCGGTGTGCGTAGCCGTAGATTATCCGCAGATAATTAATTCGCATTCCATATGCGGCGTAATTTTAATTCAAAAGTAAGCCCGATGATAACAGCAGAAAGATTACGGAAGGCTGGTAACCGATCAGGGAAGCTGCGCTTAATATAGGGGAAGTGTCGGTGAGTCATACTATACACTGGTCTGGCATTCACCCTGAGCTTACATAAAATCTACTGGAATCAAAAATAAACGTAAATTTTGATAAACTATTATAGTGGTTCTGCCAAAATTCTCTAGACTTAATTATAACCGATTCCATAACCTCCAACGCATAAACGAACTGTCTTTTAATAGAAAATTTCCTGCAGAATGACTGCTAAGGGTGGACTGGACAAAGTTCATTGAAATTAGAGTAGATCGAAATCTAAATTGAGAAAACCATTCTGACACTTTATCAACAAAGCAACTTATTAACATATCTCAAGCCAAAATAGCATGTGCCTTGAAACCTTATTAGCTATGTTTTATATACGATTATACTTATGTTTTTGTTTTTTGAATTAGAAAGTAATTCTAATTCTAAACGTATCCAATATTTTCTCTTCATGGTTTCCAAGAAATTTAAACCTTAGACTTCCGCAAATATAAAAAGGTTGAAGATCAGCATTCCGGGCTCTCGACCGTTTCTGAGTATACGCGTGCACATAATGCATAAATCGTATGATCATTTACGAAATTAACCAGTTATTTGAACTCATGAGTACGCGCCAAAGGATAGTTGCAGCGCCGGGGTAAGTATCTGCCCAGAAATGAATCAGAACTCGCGAGATTTCAACGAACCATAACACAAAATATTACCATAACCTGAATGTGTGCGCGCGCGCCTTTTTAAAAATTCAGAAATAGATTTCGCAACATGAAATTATGTGACCTAAAAGTTCATTATATCTGAGTAATTCAAAATGGGTACTCTATAAATAATCCATTCCGGATAGAACGCGGCGATCCGGTTTTAAATTTAACTCGAACTGGCCGTTAAATTTTAAAATGTCCATTACAAACGGAACGCGCGGCGCATGAACAGGATAGGCGAAAATAATAATTGAATGGAAATAAACGGTGAAAACTTTGCGACCCGCCCCGCGACTTATAATAGATAATTAATAAATGGCTTATTAGGGTTATTAAACATCATCTGCCGTACACGTATGTAACACCATTGCTAATTTGTTTCACGACGATGTCGAGGCCTCGAAGTTAATCTATCCTGTAGTCATTTATTGACGCTTTTATTGACTTATTGATGAAGCTTTTTAATAATTCGATAACTTTTACTTTGAAAGTAATAACCATCGGGCATAAATTGTTACTACAAAAATGACCGGTTTTTTACCTCGTCGGCAGGATCCTTTGCAATCCTAAAAAAAATACTGGATCGACAAAGGGTGGAACAGAGGATAAATTCTTTAAAAAAATTAATAAAGTTTCTTAATTAATTACTGTGAACATGTGTGACCAATGATAGCATTAACGAGAGCGAATGGAAATTGTAAGGGTGAAAAATATTAGCTAGAATATTTGTAGTTTTATTTGGCAATAAAACGGGTGTCCCAGTAACGGCCGGTTATTATTTTATTATTATTATAGTTATTAACTGGTTATTCTTGGACAATTGATTAGTTTTGATTAGTGTACTATGCGTAATTATTAATGGAAGAATAAATGATAATAATAAATATTTGAAAACGGCATGTCAAAAAAAATTCCAAAAATGCAGCATTTAGTTTTCTTTGTTCATTTTTAGGTTAGGTGTTCACTGGGTGGTTGTGCCTTATTTGACTATCTAACAACATAAAAAAATATACGGTTGCATTTATTCTTTTTTCGGAAAATATTTTTTTCCGATTGTATCAGAAAAGCATACCTGGTGGTAAGGCACTCATAGCTTCAAATTTCTAGGACCAACAGTTTTCCTAACACAATGGACATTATTTTGTTAATTTTTTTCCCAATTATTTTCTTGATAAGATAATAAAATTTTATGCATTGTGGGTTTGCGTAATGTAATATAATATTAAACAGTAAATAATGTTATATGTGGTGGTAGTGGTTAGTTTTTTGCGATTTTTGCTTACTCCTTATAAATATTTAGTGAAGAACAATAACGTATTGCCTTAATCGGGAATCGCTAAACCTTGCTAAAGCGCGCGACTATTTCTTTCTGTCGTTCTCATTGGAATTCCTCGACAAACTATTTACCAGAAACCAAATATTTTTGTTTGTTTTGTAGTTATTAATAAAGTGCGCCAGGATGCGCTTGGAACTGAGATTAGACGCTTAACATTCTCGTTTCCACTAAAGTAAATTTAGGAACGTATTTCTTTTCGCTCTGGAGACATATTTATAGAATTTTTAATTTTAGTCCTCTAGCCTTTAGACGTTCACGAAATGTAAAAGTAAAGTAAAAAAAGTAAAAAAAAAGTGAAACATGTGGTGGTACTGGCTGTCCAGAAAAAAATCGTTTTTCTTTTGTTCTCTCTTTGAGACGCCACTGTACGATCCGTGATGTTTTGAAATTCCTTATACAATTTTCCTTACGTTCACTGTCACTCTTAGAAGCGTTCTGCCTATTTTCCGTAAATGGAATTATTTGTAGCAGCTTTCAAGAGTCCGCCATTTTGTTTTAATAGTATCTGGGTCAGATATTTTTTTTAACATACGAATTGTATACTGAAATGGTTAACAGCCTCCTTGATCTTACACGGTCACTCGTATAATCTTGATTGATTTGTCTCCTTTCTAGGATTTGACTTTATTTCTTCTAGTTATATGGAAAGAATCTTGTTTTCGTCCGAATTCGTTTCCTAGTTTATCGCTTTGCAACCTATTAAGACGACGCCATAAATGCAATCATTGTAGATCGATATAGTTAGCGTTTTCGCTCCAATGTAACCATCATCTTTAAGTATCCCTCCGATTTATTGAAAAATTACAATAGCTCATACAAATGCGATGCCTGCTTAGAGTAAAATAAAATGACTTCCTGTATACGTTGTGCGAATAAATCGTTAAATCATTACTTTCCATTTTAAATACACCCGAAAACTAAGCGAATTTTTAAACAATTAACTGAGAACGAACGTTTAACCCGAAGCTGGAGGCTGTGTCGTGCCTAAAATACTTTCTTTAATAAAAGTAAATCATTTTTAAGTGGCAAATTCATAATCAAATGGGAGAATTAAATTATCTTTAAGGCAATTTCACTCGAGCCGACGTGATAATGCAAAGTAATCAAGAAAAAAAATCCTAAACTGAATTTAATAACAATGTAACGTAATTCTTTGAAATGGCACAAATTAAGAATAGTTTTTGTTGACCTTTGCGGGACTCCAGAACAATTTCTCGACAGTTAAAAGCACTGCTTCGAAAAACATTGATGTTTTATAAGCCTCATTCTGAATACATGGCATATTACTACGTATATGGGTTTATAATTAACTGTCTCCATTTTTGGCCGTACCTAATAACGAGGGAATATTACCATTAGAACAGTTATCACAGTATCAAGGTTATTAATAAAGCTGCATAAAATTATTACAGCATTTATAAATTGAGGCGGATGATTTAAGCAAACCTAATTATTTCCTAGGGAATCGTAGTAATATGAAAAAATTAATTCTTACTAGTGAAAGTAAGAATGAAATTTTTTTAGGTTTCGAAAATTCGTGTCTCAAGAACAGTTTTTCTCTGTCGTCACTGCAAGGGCCAAACGAAACCACCCCCGAAAAACAGGCAGTAAAACCGAGGCCATACAATAGTTTGACGAAAAACAGAGTCAAAGCGACAGCTGTTAGAAGATCATGGGGCAGTACCGCAAGCGACCACCGAGAAGAATTTTGGTCCGTGTTACAGGCCAATTACAACTATATAATGGATAATCAGCTTATCGATAAGTGTCAGGTGAGTGGTTTTCGGTCTTTGCGTAAATCAACAAAACGTTCACACGCTTGTTTCAGGAAGTAAACGGTGATCTCTCGTTACACACTGATACTTGGACGCTGAAAGAATTCTATGCCCAGTTCTCTGAACTCTATTCTTGGTTAAATAGCGTTCAAGAGACGATTTATGGAAAAGAGGAAAATATTACCGATAAAGCTCTAAGAGCTGTAAGTAGCTGAATTATATTTGTGTGTGATTGAGTATATATTCCCATATTTGTGGTTATGTGCATAATCAAAAAACAAAACAAAGCAAAAGTGTTTTCTATGCTTTAAGAATAGTTTAAGACCAGCAAATTTTCCTTTGTACGAGACAAAACTAAAAATTTCATTAAATAATTAATTTTTAATGATAATATGATATGCCAATGACTTACGGCAGTTACCTTGACCAGTTTTGCCCACTGCGGTATAAATTTGTTTGAATTATTAGTAAATATAATAAAAATAATAAAGGAACCCGTAAGTTGGAAGTTTTTGCAAGTCTGAATAACTAATATCTTGCTGTGCTTCTATCCCCGACAATCGTAGCCACGAAACATCCCCCTTACGAAAGAAATTGCAATGTTGGCCAAGAACACTGAAAAAAGCGCCATCTATTAGCTGACCGCTTAAGTTTGACAAAGAATCCAGCCGCTAGCAGCAGAGCGGGATCTTCATATTAATTCTGTAATAGAGGGCTCCAGGCGGCAATACCTTGAATCACTTATTTTACCTTTAGTTTTATACGGAATTGGCGAACTTTTGGTAACAAGTATGATTAATATCTATTAACTTGCATACAAAAAAAAGAAATCGGACATTTAACGGAGATTATCAGAATTAAAACACTTTAACACAAAAATACTTTTATGAAAAAGAGCTATTTGTTTAATCAATATAGTTTTACTCTATTACTTTTATTTCAAAACAAGCATAATTACAAAAACTATCCCGATATCTGCCATTTACGTGAATATCGTAACGGGAAGTAATTAGCTGTGCTGATAACGGAATGACGCATCTTGGACCACGGACTACACACTTTTACAGATTTAAAGCCGCTTCGCATATACGCTCTCGTATACTTAAAGTCTTCGTGTTTTATTACGTAGCAGTTCTTATTTGCGCGGCGCATCACTTTACTTCAAGCGACTTGACGCGTCCAATTTCCCATAGGCGTTTCCACGCAACAAAATAAGGGTATAGAGGGCAATGATATTTAAAATTTTTAGTTTATACTAGACTAGATACTTGCGGAAGTAGCCACAAAAGCAACGCTCTAGGTGGAAGACAGGAAAGTTGAACAGATAATATTATTAGTTTGGGAATATGACACAGCAAGAACTGTTGGAACTGTTCGTACTAAGCATTTCTGGTTTCGCATGAACTGTCCTGCCCTGACGATCCGAGTTGAAGCTTATATGTGAATTCGTCTCGCTAAATTAATGGTTTGTCGCGAAGCCAAGTGAGGCGTAGCCATCATCTAAAGACATTCAATTATAAAACCAAAGTTTCCATAAGAACCAACAAGGAAGAAGAATCACTGAAGAAACTAGAAAATAGTCACTGATCTGCACTAGGAGCCTATTAAACAAACCCCAATATTCTTTGCTTGCGAAGGTCTTTTTATCATCACAATTATTTCTCTTCCGGATTTCCCATTATCATACGACCTATAAATTTAAAAATATTTTTTTATATATATATTGTTTTCTTCATTTTTTCATTACCCTCAAATGAAACCATCAAATTGAACATGATTGAAATTGGTAAAGATTGGTTTCTTCCTAGATTGCTGGAATAATCTTGAAAGTGTGAAATAGAATAAACTTTGCATCTCTTGTTATGGAAAAAGATCCGTGTTTAACAATGTTTAGATTAGTGCAAGTTGTTTTTCAGCATTGTGTGAATAAAGTCCTCGAGAAAAGTTCTTCGTTGAAGCTGTTTAACGATCAAGCTAGTCAACTCGTGCAATTATATCCGGAGGTACAAGAGGAAGTGGGTTGGAGGACTACTCACTTAAACTCCAAATGGGACTCCATTTTGAGTATTCTAGGGCCCTCGGATTGCGATATATGCGATCAGGCCACGTGTCTAGGTTAGTAATGCCGTTTTAATGATGTTGTTAATGATGGTTGCCTATCCATTGTGTCTGCTCGTAATCGACACTGTTGGGTTGCCTAAGCAACGGTACCAAAAGTTCGTTGTCTCTTTAGTGAGAATCAAATCCTCGAAGGTTTTGCAGATTCGGTTTTGCGGAATACTAACTGCTGATTGTATTAATCGAATTAAATTTTGCCTTGAAGTGTTATTAGTACTAGAGGATGTTGTTTCTTTAAGAGGGAAAAGGTACACTAGTTTTTCAATAATATGGTAAGGCCGTTCCTGGCCTTGAAATAGTGATTACATGAAAACAGATAGCACAAATAAATAAGTAGAATTATTAATTTGATATTAGAAGCCGTTATCGGATACAGTGTATTAATGAAACGCGGAATTTCCTGTAATTTGTTCCGTCCTTCTGGTTGTTGTATATTTTGTTTTGAAATAATTTAAAACATTTTACTACTTCGCGAAAGTACGTTTTTCAAATAAAATTAAAAAAAAATTATTGAATGAACGTCCGATAGCGATATCGACCGTTTTTGCTTGTATTCCCGAAACAAAATACAGTTATTTTTGTTATAGGAATTTTGTTCTTATTTAACGCATCGCTGACTCAATTTCAAATTGAAATTTAGTGTGCTAAAAATTGTTTCGTGGTATTTATCGATAATATTTGTGAACTGCGAGGGAAGTCCATCCCTTTATTCTGTTTTTGAATGTTATCCGATAAACTGTCTTAAGCCGATAATATTTCATTGGATTCCATTGGCTTCTTTTTGTATGTGCAACCGGCTACAACTGCTAGAGTGAACTGGTTTCGTCAGCGTTATTCCCTTTTATTGGTTCGGGTTTAATTATGGTTTGTCCTGTTTTTTCCAGATATCGATCACGAACTGAAATGTTTGCGGAACTGGTTCAAGATCATGGAGTCCTGCCTCCAGCCCTTGGATTTTAGAGCCAAATATACCAAGACTGAAATCGAAACGAAAGCTTTAGAATTAAATGTAAGTACATTTTAATTTTTGTTAATTTAAAATAATAAATGGGTGGTCATTTGGTCGTGAATTCAAGCGGCGTAGTTTAAGCCTAGATTTAATTGTTTGGATCTTACATGCCTCAAAAAATTATTCACGTAAAACACATGCCAGATGGGATTGAAGCGGATTTTATGAGACTGTTGCCCCGAAAATGCAGTATCAGTTTACGAAATTTATTCGAAGAATTACAATACAGTGTATAATATATACAGGTTGGTTCAAACAACATGTGCCATCGCTAGAGGGAAGATTCCTCACGTAAAATTAATACTTTTTTTATATCAACGTGCGTCCGATTCTGCTTCGTTTTGTAGCTACAGGGTGTTAAAAAATTGTTTTTTTTTATTTATTTATTCCAAATTTATCCAAAATGACTGTAGGAATGCCAATAAAATTTGGAGGGTAAAAGTTATTTAAACTACAAACTGCAAAAAGAGTTGGGACAACTTGATCACTGCCGTGCGCATGGGCAATCATACCAATCCTTTTTGAAAAAAAAAAACTGCGCGCCACTGACTTTTTCTTTCTTTAATAGCAGAATTGAGAAGGCTTTTTAGAGCCTGTTGAAAGTTACTCTTGATCGTTCGTCGATTTTGATCTCTCTAATGAGATAAATGCAATGCAGCGATAGGCCTCGTCAAGTTGTCGAAACTCTTTTTGTAGTAAAATAGTTTAAATAACTTTTGCCCGTCAAATTTTATTGGAATTGCTACATATTGTAGTTACGAATGTTGATATAAAAAAGTCTAATTTTTACGTGTTCCCGCTAGCCATTGCACTTTTATATATACCGGGTGTCTCAAATCAGTCCCCACTGGCATCTCGAAGACGATGGTATTAAAGTTGTCTGCAAAAGTGAACTCAAATCAATCAAAATCAAAATCAATGAGACTCCCATCTCTGTTTCGACAGTGTGAGTGGAAAAGGTGACTCGTACCGTTAATGACAGATTTTTTGTGTGAAAATGTTGGGATATCTTCTAACTATGCCATTTTTCATTTTCTTGGTTTCATTGTCTTTAATGCAAGGCGTTAAACTTTATTTAAAAACTAACTTTCACATATTATATTGTTATAATATATATTATATTATATTAAATTTTGTAAATAGAAACGGCATACTAGCAAAAAAACGAGGGTTCTGTACACTATCACCTCCCCGAATTTTAACAGTGCACGCCTATGGTCTTGAAATTAGGCTAACTTTCATTAAATTTTAAACCATGAACAAAGGACAGCTTAAAATGTCTTATTTCGTTTTTTTTTTCCTTATTAATATTTTGCATTTTTATGTTCTACCAATAAAATGTCTGTCTTGTAATATCTAATTTTATACTTACGGTTTGCATTTGTTAAAAATTAATAATACCAATAACAATAATATGCATTTTTGCGTGTGTTTCTTTATTATTTCATTTTTACATTGAAAATATGTCGAAAACTGCACAAAATGAACAAGAGGGAAAAATTACATTAAGAAACGGCTTCGCTAAAGGAAAGAAGCACAATTATACGTAAAAAATTGGGAGTCTCAATATTTTCACACGAATATCTTCTCGACTCACCCTGTATGTTCATTCAGGATTAAATAATTTGTTGGTAATTCATTTTCGAACTGTTAAATTATTGACCACACAACGCGATTTCCATCCACCGTTAATGATATAAATTCGTTACGCCTTACTGAAGCCTTGATTGATAGCGGCCCGTGCGCGTATGATGCTAAATGACAATAATAATTATACCCGACACATTTTCAAATAAGGAAATTAAAGTGAATTTACCAGAACTGATAACGTCGTATTATGTCGCCAGACGTTTTCAAAAAAATGCCAAAACATTGTTATTAATTTGTAGGAATCGTTTTATCGGATTTATTTTCCCGACCTGTAAAAGGATTGATCAGCCGTTTGAAATTTATTTAATATTCTGTTTCGAATGCGTGCGTGATCCTCGCTTGAATAATAATTTATTCCCGCGTACAGAAACTGGTTTTCGCTGTTTCGAGATGTGTTAATGATGTCATTATATGCAAATCGTTGTTTATATGGAGCAGTACGCGAATTTGGCCATATCGCGATTAGATAACCTTGTTGCAATGAGGATTTGGTAGGAAGTTAAGTTATTTATTGATTTATTACGTTTTGGACTGAACGGAAAATGTCATCCGAAACGGGAAATGTGTCACCGGCGGATTAAATTAAGCACATTGTGTTCGAGATGGACGATAATAATTGTATCTACGCGCAGCATGGCCATTTTAATGTTTTATTTAAACTGGATCGTTATATTTTTAGGATCGCATTAGTAATGTCATTCTTTCTCGCTGTGTTGCCAAGTCGAGTATTTTATACCCATTAGCTGTTAATGGGTAGAAAATAAGAATGCCAATGCTTGTAAAAAATGTATATTATTGGTGGTTTAAAAACTGCGTTTCAATAGTATTTCACAACTGACTATTTAATCTGAATTTAACTCACTCACTCGTTTACAAGAAATACCAAAGAGTATCTCTCTCTCTCTCTCTCTCCCCCCACACTCACCCACTCTCTCTTTATTTAAGAAACAACAGTTTCATTTATTCATTCATTTCAACATTTCATGTAATTTTTGTAAATAAAAATGGTATCCTGGTGGTCTCTCGTATTAAATAATAAATAATTCCCACCAATAACTAACATTTACAAATGATTCTTAAGGATAAAAAATAAGGTCCACTTTCAACCCAGACAAAGACGGCTGGGTGATGACAGTGACGACAATCAAGATCCATTTAGAGTGTTGGTAAGGTTTGATTTTTAACGGATGTCATCTTGTATCTTATTTAATTCCTAGTATCTATTTGTTCTGTGACAGAACACACGAGTAAATTTGTCTACACTTGTCTCATAAATGAAGCATGAAAAATGTGGAGACATAAATACAAACATAAAAACAAAAAAAAACCTGATAACTATATATGGTCTTTTGGTTGGACTGACTGACCTCCTCAATTATCTCCGTGACTTACGAGCCGCCCTGCATAACAAAGAAAAGCTCGCGATCTGTCGCGTGAGACGATCAACCAGCAAATGGGGTGTCGAAATTTGCAAAGACCTTTAGACATGTAGAAAAATGAGGTATAATTTGAAGGGTTTAATGCTCAATAAAAAATACTCAGATGTTTATCTTCGTCTTACTTGACAACCCCGCTTTTGTATTCTCGAGTAAATCGCATGAGCTGAAGCGGTCTAGTTTAACAAGCTCGGAAACGGTCGGGTGTAGTCGTCGAGTCGCTTAACTCCCAACTTAACCGTCCCGGGGTACCATCTGTATAGTCACGGTCGGCGTGCTCTTGCCCACAATGAAACAAATCTAAGCAATATCAGTCGGTTTTCTGAACAAGCCGCGCTTTGTTGTGTCTATATTGCTCGTAATTCCATTTAATATTCAACAACGAAGGTGCTATACGACGAAAATGTTGGAGTGAAGGTGCAGTGTCCACCACCCTTAGCCATCTAAGTACTTAAGCGGCAACCAAACGCAAGTTAGTACTTGTTTCTTTCTTTGTTTCCCTCCCTTTTCAATTATGTTTACCGAAGACTAACACTATCGTCGTGAGTTTTTGCCTAAATTTAACGATTTCCATATTAACGAAATATAAACATAACATCGTCTTCGAATAATATGAGGTTATGTGCGGTACGTTTATTTTTTGCACTTGACATTTACGCCGGCTACCGTGGGTTCTTCTTGAAATACTTCGAATGTTTTTTCTTTCAGAGCGATCTTTTTGTTTAATTGTATTTTAGAACTCTAGCCCCAGCGAAAAAGTAGTTGAATATCGTTCCTAAAATTGTAGGAATCTGTCAGTATGGCATGGATTCGTGACTAATGAACGATAGAATTTCCACTTGTAAAATGTTTTTCTGATTGTCGATACCTACGTTATCAAACTGTTTGTGTTAAGATAAAATACATACAACACAACAACGTTACCTAATTGAAATTATTGCTATCAAAAATCGATAAAACTGTTATCTCTAATTCGAATATAATTTTTAAGTTTATGAGGATGATGTCGCTAACTTTAAACTTATTTCGGTATACAAAAAAAAACTAAGGACAAAGTATGTATACAAAACGGCAATAATGAAACTGACGGATCACAAATTGTACATCTATTAATAATAATATTCTTTTGTTCGTCTTGTAGAACAAACGTCATCCATGTGCGTTAGTCCTTTCGTAGGCCGATGCCGAAGTCGTAACAGACTTTCTAATAGAAAATTTTTTAATTTCCTATTATCGCATACAGTAGAATCAAATTTAGCTATATAATAAGTTTTTCAATTCGCTTGTAATTTATAAGAGAATTTTTGATTAGCAAGTGGTCGTAACTAAGGCGTGGCCCTCGATAACCACCGCTGAAGAAATGGCTGGTATTAAGGCTAATAAACATATCCAACTACATATGAATATGGAGAATCGTTCTCATTGCTACCTAAAATGGAGTCGTATTATTAATCGTAAAACTTACAATGTTGCGGTCGTGCATGTAGTAGTAGTAAACTATTTTCATTAGTTCGCATTTTCTCTTTTCTTGAAATGTTACGCTTTGTTCCTCTTCTTTTTTTTTTTTTCACTCCAGAATTCGTTTCCTTACGCGAACACGTGGACGAGTGTAAAAACTGGAACTTCCGGGAGTTTAATGGTTTTATATTCCATGCCTTAACCGAGGCACGTTGTCTCTAGCGAGTAAAATATCTTGCTTAAATATCGTGGTAGATGTAATAAATCATTATGATGAATTATACAGCGAATTACCTCATACGGTACATTATCTAGTCAGAAATCTCATATCGCTACCACACAACGATCTATTCTTTAGCTTTTCCTCATTGTTTACGGTTTGAACATTGTCCAGATTTAAACCTTTTACGTCATTTTTTTCACGTAAAAGTCTACATTACTAATAAAAAAAATTAG